GCCGCTCCGCGGCATGTGGGATCTTCCCGGACCGGGGCACGAACCCGCGTCCCCTGCATCGGCAGGCGGACTCTCAACCACTGCGCCACCAGGGAAGCCCTACTTTTTTTTTTTTAAAGATTTAATTTTATTTATTTTTGGCTGCATTGGGTCTTCGTTGCTGCGTGCGTGCTTTCTCTAGTTGTATGTGGTAAGCAGGGGCTACTCTTTGTTGTGGTGCACAGGCTTCTCTTGTTGCGGAGCATGGGCTCTAGGCGTGCGGGTTTCAGTAGTTGTGGCACGCGGGCTCAGTAGTTGTGGCTTGTGGGCTCTAGAGCGTAGGCTCGGTAGTTGTGGTGCATGGACTTAGTCGCTCCGTGGCATGTGGGAACTTCCCGGACCAGGGATCGAACCTGTGTCCCCTGCATTGGCAGGTACATTCTTATCCACTGCGCCACCAGGGAAGTCCCCATGTCTCTACTCTTAATGCCAAATGTTTTCACATGTCAGAGGTGTTCAGAGGGCCAACAGCAGGCACCTCTGTCCTTTGCCCTTTGAGCTTGGCTGATGGCAGGTGGCCCCATCCCTTCTCCCCAGGGTCTACGAAAAGGACTCTGGGGCAGGAGGAGATTCTACATTGCTAAGTATTCCTTCCTCCACCTCCCTTTCCCTCACCACTCCTCCTTTTGCTGTTCTTCCTTGGATTGATAAAATTCAGTAAAGATTTATTAAGTGACTACTATTGTTAATATTTATTAAGCACTTACTGTGTGCCAGACAATGTGCAGTTGTGCTTAATTTCACACTTGACATCTCATGAAGTCATTATGATTATCCCATAAAGTAGATACTATTTTTCCTCTTTTTTTTTGTTAAACAGATGAAGAAACTGAGGTTCCAAGTGATAACCTAGCTTCATAGCAGAGTCAGGTTTCAAGCTCACATCTGCTTCACCTGATGTTCCCACCCACACAAGAAGATGCTGATTGCCACGCTGGGTGGAGTGAGGGCTGGCTGGCCGAGACTGACAAGTTGGAAGACAAGCATTTAAAAAGGACTTGATGATGTTACTTTCAAGGGACTCTGCTGACAGGGGCCCCCAAGGATCTAAGTAGACAGGAGTCATTTGTAATTAACAAATTCATTCATTGAATATAAAACTGCAGCTAAGACTTGGCCTTAGCTCCAAAATGGGCTCACTCTTCCTTCTTTTGATGCCATGAATGGTTAGGTAGAGTCAGAGCTGGGAGAGATCACCCCACCCTCTCCTTTCACAGAGGAGGAAACAAGAAAGGCCCCAGGTCACCTGCTAACAGCCTGCTCTCCTCCAGACCAGCCAAGGCCCCACCCTCAATGGATTCTCCAAATCACCAGGTGCTACATTGGCTCTTTGTTGCTTTCTTTTCTTTTCTTTTTAACATAACCATAGTGGGCCTAAGGGGGGCAGTTCCAGTCTTTTCTGCATCAGAGGTGGCTTTTCTGCCAGGATGGTTTTGGCATCTCTCAGTCTGTTTGGACAGGACACCTGCACCTCCTGGGAACAGCAACGGGTCCACTCTGATCATGCAATACTAAACTGAAGGAAGCAGCGATAACACCATCCATCCAGCCAACAAACATTTGTGAAACGCTTATTACGTGCAGTTGATTATTAGGCCCAGTTCTATGACGGGTGAAAGATGCAAAAACACTACATGTTGAATGTCCAAGAGCTTTTCCTAGCTGTTTTTTCCTGCATTATTTTATTTTCTCTGAAGAGCAGGCACCTTGCAACTTTTTCTGAAAGCAAACTCTGTGCCAGGTGCTGTTCCAGGCACTTTGTGTATTAACTCATTTCATCCTTACCTCAACCTTTCGAGTTAGGTATTGCCTCCATTTCATAGCTGGGAACACTCAAGCTCAGAGAGGGTGCTTGGGTCCAAGTACTGAGGTCCTGCAGCTGGGAAGGGGCAGAGCTGGGAATTGAATCTGCTGCACCCCATTCTTCTCATATGAGGTTGTGGCCCTAAGGAGTGTTTTTGGAAACAGATCTTGCACAGAGACATGAAAGGTAAAAGAGAATCTAGTCAAATACCCGTTTACGGAGAAACGGTAGCTCGGAGAGGGAGGGTAACCTACCTGAAGTCACACAGCTAATTAGAGGCATAGCTGTGACTGATGTCAGGTTTGCCAACTCCCAGGTTGATGGTCTTTCCAACCCAATAGCTTCTAAAATGATCAGCCCTATACCTAACCCCTTCCTTCTAGGTCACATCATGTCCGGGGCTCAGGCCCATGGGCTTGTAAGCACCACGGGCACTTGGGGTGTTGCCAAGGGCACCTTCGACCCTCCAAACTCCTTTTTCTGTGCAGCTGAACACCACTGATGCTCTCCGAGGATGCAAATGTTAGAGAGGGTGAGAAATGGATTTTCCACTTGAGCTCATCCTCAGGGGCCCTTGGTCAGTGTCCTGCTTTTCCACGAATCTATGCCCTCCTTAAGAACTGGACGGACCCAAGTCATGCCCCTCCCCAGGGCTGGACATATCAAATCCTGACGGCTTGGCCTGGCTGTCAGCCCCCCTCTCCTACTTTGCCCCTGGGCTGTGGCCATGCCAATAGTCCCCACACCCCATGGCTCACTTGTTTGCCCTTGTTTTCCCTCCTGCCCATGCTCCCCTCAAAACCCGGCTCCATATTATTTGTCAAAGAAGCAATTTGGAAAC